TTTTTTTTTTTTTTTTTTTTTGGAAACAGGGTTTCTGTAAGTTGCCAAATTGCCCAGGTTGGCATTGAATTTGTGATTCTTCTGCCTCAGCCTCCTAGAGTGCTGGGATTATAGGCATGGGCCACCACACACAACAGACTGTGGGTGTTCTTTTTTTGTTGTTGTTTGGATTTTTTTGGTACCCAGGATCGAACTCGGGACCTTGTGCTTGCGAGGGAGGTGGCAGCACCACTGAGCTACATCCCCGTGGGTGTTCTTGAAGTGAAAAATATGCATCACAGAGGGGAAGATGCTGTGACTCCCACTGTTTTTTTGCCAACAGAACTATCCCCAGCCCTAGTGTCAGTAGACAGTGGGGTAGATGTCTCTCTCTGCACAGGCTGGAGTTCCCAAGGCAGGTTCAGCAGGGTCCCATGCCACTCATGGGGGTGGGCAGGGAAGAGGCAGGGCCAGACATCTCAGAACTGAGGAAATACAGAGATGGGCTAAGCTGGAGGGACAGCCCAGCATGCGGGCTGTGGAGGCGGCTCAGCCTCTCCCAAACTCAGAGGTCTGAACAGATCTACAGAGAAGCGTGGGTCTCAGAGAAAGGGAAGATGGTCAGAGGTTGGCACATGTGTTCCCCCAGGCCACTCAAGGTGCGCGGGAACCCTCGGTACTGCTCACCTGCAGGACCCTCTGGGACCTGCAGCTTCCCCTTTGGTCACGCCAGCCTCCAGGTCTCCCTGCTCCCTCCCAGCTGTGCATGAGCTGTTGCAGCTGCTCTGCATGTTGGGGTGTGTTTTTGCTGTAATGACATTGCCCTACATAGGTCGCATCTGGGAGGCCAGGCTCTCACTCCTGTAAGATCACCTCATGCAGCTGGGGAGAAGTCAGTGCATCTCTTGTCCTGCAGGTGGGGTTAGACAGAAGCTGCCTCCTCATCCCAGCAGTGCCACGCACATGGCCCCGGGAGGAAGAGGAGATCGATAGGTCGCACAGTGCTGGCTGCAGTTCTCCGAGACTGGGGCCTGCACTGCTGGCTCTTGCTGCTTAGTATTTACTGAGTAAAAGTCATTGCCCTGGAGACGCCCGATTTATTGACACTGAGAGATGAAGGCTGTCTGGTCTGCGGATCTGCACAGAAAGCCTCCTGTGTTTCTGAGCAGAGACCCAGGGAGGAGTCTGGGGATCGGCAAAGGGAGCCCTGCCCCCACCCTGGCCTGGCACGGGGAGGCAGGTGGCACAGTGTCGGCTGGGATGTGGAGGGGGATTCTGCAGGAGCTGCCCTCTTCCAGCATCCCTGGTGTTTGGAGTCCAGACCTTCCCTGTCCTGTGTCCCCTGTTCAGCTCCTGGGGATGGTGTGGCCTCGGGTCCCCTGCCCTGGGCCGCTGCTGTAGACCTGGTGGATGGAGCCCTGCCAGGCGTCTTTGGCTCCTTCACAGTTTGGAGTTCCTTACTTGAAAGTCCCCTCCTGATGTCTGGGACAGCCAGCGTTGACCCGGGTGACCCTAAGATTGAAAGGGGATCCCAGGTGGGCCCCCGTGGTGCTTGTTTCTCTCTGCTGGGCACTGTTTGATCCTATACCCTGGGTGTGAGGTTGACCATGTGCTTCAAGGAATCCTGGGACTCAGGCCAAAGGAGATTCTGAGGATCCTGTGGATAGGCTAGGCTTCCAGGAAGGTGGCCCAGGGAGTAGTTGGTCCCCATTGACTGCAAGGGTTGAGCTGCCAGAATGGTGGTGACCGCTTGGGTCTCAGGCCACACTGATTTTGGGTGACCCATATAGTTTGCATAAACAGCGGCCACAGAAAGGATAATCTGGTCAGGACTCCGCATGCCCAAAGGGCAGCCTCATCTGCAGGGATGTAAGTCATTAACATGGCGCCTTACAGGCACCCTGCGCCTGGTACCACACCCTCCTGCGGCACAGCCTCCGAGCAGCCTACCGGCTGCATGCTCAGTAGCAGTTCCTCCTGCTCCTCATGGCTTCTGGCTGGCATCACCTGACTGTAGCGAGCCATCTGGCTCTTCTCCTTGCTGGGGTGGCAGTGCAGAGGGGCCCCAGGGTGTCCTCCTCAGGCCACTCTGCTCCCCGCCTCCGTGAGGTCCTCTGGCCCTGTGTGTCCAGCAAGGAGGGACTGGAGCAATGACCATCTGTTGTGTCCTGTGGTGTTCAGCCTGCCTCTCCAGCCTGGGCTGCTTCCTCTGTGTAGCTGCTGCAGCCAGTTCCTGCCATGCCCACAGCCAGCTCTGCCTCAGACAGAGGTGTCTCTGAGGACTTGTTCCATGTGTGCAGAGACGCAGAGTGGAGGCTGGGACTTGGAGACTTCATATTGGTGACAGATGCTTCCTCCCAGACAGCAGATAAAGGTCACTCCTAAATTCCAGAATAAAACCATCTACTTATCTGCAAAATGTCAGAAAGAAGGACGGTGCCCT